GAGCACTTCTAAGAATTCAGGAAATTAAAAAAATAACTCAGGTACGGTCTGGAGGACTCAAAACATCTTTGAAATTAAGTCTATGTTTGGATATATATGTAATGCATTTGCCTAATTAAAAAAAAAAAAGGCAGTTTGGATTTAATTTCTAGTCATGTTTCAGTGTGTAAACTTTTTCTTTCAAAACAAAGATTTAAACTGTCTCTAGCAATTGGATCCTACTGTGTTTAGTATTACCCCTGCTGTGTGTGTTCAGATCTAGATAAGGTATCTCACTGGGGTCCTGACCTCTTATAGTCTTTAAAATTCCCAGAACCCATTCTGAATGAGTGTAATTTTTATTTCCTGCTTATTATATGCAGTCACTGCACAAACAGAGAAAAGATCCTGCTTGACCCATGTAGTTTATGGCCGAAGCAATGGCCAAACTAGTGTGGTTTCAATACCTGTGTAAAGTTCAGTGTAGTTGGGATCTAAGTCTCCCTTCTGCCTATCTGCAATTTGAAGGGGACCCAGCACATTTTCACACCCTCACTGGAGAAGGCTGCTGGATTTAATCCTGGTCTCGTTTCCATACTTTATTGGTTTTGAACACCTTTTTCAGCCAGGGCAAGTGCAGTCCCAAAGAGTTGAGCTAAAAAAAGAAACAAAAAAAAACCCCAAAAACCAAACCTCCCCAAAAAAAACCCAAACCCAGAATCCCCCCGAGCAAAGCCTAATAAATGTCATTTGTTAGCACTTTACCGTTGTTTGGCACCGTTAAGGGTTGTATCAAGTGTAATGCAGGGTGCAATTGGCTTTATGTTGTGAATGGACCCCCACTGTTCTTCTTGTCACCCCAGAGGGACATTTATCACAAGTGAGAGAGCAATTACAGTGCAGTTAAACTCGCTGTAGTAAATCTTGTTTTTTAAAAAGAGAGCTAACTTCGTTGTTGCAGGTTTGGCTGCGTGTCATTAGATTTGCAGCCCTTGTGCAGTCTGCTATATGGCCTGGTATGGAGACCCAGTGATGCTGCCTCCTTTAATTATGGATTGCGTTAATTTATAATGTATGACCAATTTTAATAAAAGGATATGCTTTAATATTAATGGCCCTCTGTATCCTACATATGGGACCCAGTTTAAGGATCTTTATCTCTCTTTTTCCCTCTGTCCCCTGCCACCCTCTTCTGCTGCAGCGAACCTCAGTCCAGGGGCTGAACAGAAAGTGGTGTTCATCACGGCACGAGTCCACCCTGGGGAAACACCATCTTCCTTCGTGTGCCAAGGTGAGTGTCCGCATGAAGACGACAGATCTAGTGAGATCTGATTTCTTATCGATGTGCGTATTCGGTTTGCATAGCTTCAGATCTGACAGAAGGCTGAATTCATAGAATCGTAGAATGGTTTAGGTTGGAAGGGACCTTAAAATCATCTAGTTTGAACCCCCCGCCCTGGGCAGGGACACCTTTCACTAGACCAGATTGCTCAAAGCCCCATCCAGCCTGACACCTGTAGGGATGGAGCATCCACAACTTCACACAACAGTTTTTTTCCACAGTAAGGATATTAGTAGGATCTCTCTCTTCTACCCAGCTGCCTGCTATCCTGGGGCCAGTCGGAATATATTATGTCTGAGACTTGTGGATGTTTGCTGGTCAAAATTGGACTGTGGGCTCTGAAGCTATTCAGGAAAAATTGACTGTCACATTTGTAGATATGCAATGTGATTGTGTAAGGCTCCTTTTCTTAAAACAGGCTGGAAAAGCTCTGGGAGTGGTACTCTGTTAAGTGCTTATATTTTCTTGCTGTCTACTATCTTTGACTTTTTTTCCACCACAAAGCAGTGACCCTAGTTCTCCATTTTAATTCCGAGAGTCCTCTACTTGTCTGAAGCTGCTGCTCTGAGGAGCACAGCTCCCAGTGGCTGACAGCTGTTCCCTGCACAAACCATTCCTG